GGTCATATCCCCTACGATTAATCTCTTCTTCCATCGTTGTCGGAGTGTTTCGAGCTAACCGTTGATTTCTCCTGGCTTGCCTAAACGTTCGCTCAATTTCGAGATCAAGAGGTAGCAAGTTCGTGTCGTGTCCTCTTCGCATAAATAATACCTAAAACAAAAATAAAAAAAAATAAGATAAGCAAATAAAATAATTAACTAAAATAAATAAAATGGCTGAAGTAAGAAAAATTGCTCAAATTTAATATTATAATAAATAAATAATTTAGCCGTAATCCCCGGTAACGGCGCCAAAAACTTGTTGGCCTAAATACCTAACACGCAAGTGCACGTATCGCAAACAAGTAGTAAATCATAATCCTAATCCTATCGTAAGAGTCGGATGTCGATCCCACAGGGAATACTCAAACTACCTAATCCTAAGTACTAAATTCTAACAATTATGATTTTTATCCAGCCCACGCAAGTTTGTCAAATTAAATCAATTAAACAATTAAACTAATTAAGAAAGCAAATAATCACGAGAAAATATCAATATAAAAACGGATCTACGATTGTATCTTCCCCCTATGCGATAATTCGTCACCCAATTAAACCTCTATCATGCAAGTCACGATTCCTGATTATTAACCCAAGACACGAAATTACTCATAACCCGCTGTCGCGTGTATTATGAGTTTATTATTCATAAACGATTCACTATATGTCTATGCAAACCAAGTATGAATAAAGCATTAAATAACAAGTCTCGTAAACGGCTACCTAACGTATTATCTGTATGTCTACGATAACACATGCAATTGAGACACTCATCCGGTGAAAACTACTCGAAGTCTCTCCTATCCTTGTTCTAATTATTAAAACGATCTGTCGATTCAAATCTAACAATAACACATAGCAACAAAAATTAGCTACGCTCATGCGGTAAATAAGATCAAATAGAAGAAATAATCAAGGAATTTAAACTTGCATAATATTAGAAAAATATGTTCGAATCACCACATAGGGTTCCAACAAAATCCTAAATTAAAAACTTAGCTACTCATGTTCTCAACGAAAAGCATAATTAAAATACAATAAATCATAAAAAGTTCGTAGATAAAAATAAAAGTAAAGGGAGAACTATGATTAAGATTCGTCAAGTCTTTGTCTTCGTTGCTCCGTTCTCTTGCTCCTAGATTGCGTGTAAAAAGATAAGATGCCAATTGTGTGCTTTTCTTGGCCTTTATATAGGGTGCCAAAAATATAAGAGGACGGTTTTCTTGTGTAGCTAAACTTCCTTCACTGTGCCTCTTCGCGAACTCGGACGGCCGTGTCAAAATTAACGCTGAACTCGGACGGCCGTCCGGTCTTTAATTCTTCGAAGTTTTGATTTTTTTACTTTTGACCCACTTTTTCTCTGAAATTGCAGTTTTTACCCCTAAGTTTTCAATTCTTCAATTTGTACCTAAAATACAAATAATAACCATTTTAAGCACCAATTATCGTTAAAACACACCAAAAGATCCAATTAAAAGGTATGATTAAGTGTAAAAATATACACTTAACACCTCCCACTATCAATTGATGGTTGTAATACTCTAACGAAGAACATTTGCAGATGATAAGAGATTAATGAGATATGTAAGAGAAGATATTATATATGAGAGATGAGAGAAACATATTGAGATAAAGCGAAAGAGACTAGATATGAGAAAAGAAGAGATTATATGTGATGGAATAGAAAAAAATAAACACACAATACAGAAGGAACGTGATTTCTTTCCATACTCAGTAACTGTTATGAAATTGTTAAACATGTACGATTGGGATGAACCAAAAAACTAACATCTATAATAATTGGGAAAATTATATTTTATGTCCCTAAACTATACCACTAAAATGATTTTTGTCCTCAAACTTTTGCAACCACGAAATATATCCTCAAACTTGCCATTTTTTTTAACAATTTGTGCTCCACTGTTAACTTTGCCAGCAAAGTTAAACGGAATGTCACATGTGGCACACATGATGTCTGTCGACGAGGCTTGCACCCTACGTTGATTTTGGTGATTGAACATGACGTGGAGTGACACGTCACTGTCCCCCTATTTCAATTATGAAATCCCAAATTTCTCATTATCCCAATTCACTGAATTCGATCAGATAAACCCCAACCCTAAATTTCCTGCAGAAATCTTCTAATTGAGGTGAAATTCGGCATCAACAAGATCATCCAACCCTAATTTCGCAATTAATCGAACATTTATGGAACTGAAACATCGCAATCGACCAACAATCTTCGATTTTAGTAAGTTTCTTCAAAGTTCTTATCTTTGATCTTCGGTTTTTGGAATTTGGGATTTGTCATGGGTTTCTTAATTTTGAATTATGTATGATTTCGAACAAGATTGAAGATGTGATTGTAAATTGGGTGTGTGTTTACGAGATTAAAAGCAATTTTGAGATGTGATGGCTAGGGTTTCATGTGTGGAGAGTGAAGTGAGAATTGGGGATCTGAGAAATTTTAGAATTGGGTTTAGATTGACTGATTTCCTGTGTTAGCTCGACATTCTACGGCCACTTCAGCATCACGTGAGCCACACGTGACATCTTGACTGACGAAGTTAACGACGGAACACAAATTGTTAAAAAGTGACAAGTTTAAGGACATATTTCGTGAATGCAAAAGTTTAAGGACAAAAAATATTTTAGTGATAAAGTTTAGGGACATTAAATGTAATTTTCCCACAATAATTCTATGAATGAGGAATTTCGTTCAGGAAAAAAAAAAAGTATTAAGGTCGTACCACGCATCTAATTAAGTTTGGTATAAGGATTCTTTAGTGTATTAACCATTTAAATATTGCCAACAAAACGTGTTACTAGATCATACTTCCTCCGTCTCACATATTAAGAAAATTAATAGATGCGTAAGAATTAAAGCAAAGAAATTTAAAAAATCATTGAAATAACCAAAAGGTAAAATAATTATTTTTTTAATTATTATCAAGTCTTTCAATTATAAAGTGTGAAAAATTTGCAATTTTTAATTTCTTGGCAAAAAAATTTGCTCCAAAAGAAGGGAGTATTATTTAGTCAGTATGACTTAATAACACTTACCAAACAAGTCCTAATAAAAGTGGGGTCATTAGCAATAAACCCTCATATAGATAATAAATGGTGATATGTCCACCCTTTAAATCTTTCTTTATGATAACTCTTTAGAAATTGTATTTCCAATTCTACCCTTATGTCAATTAGCACAATTAATCTCAATTATTCTTTTTTTTTTCTCTCTTTCCATAACAACAAATTAATTCCTGAAAATCTGATTCCGAATTCCTAAAAATATGCTGCCAAATCAAAAAGAAAAAAAAAAATATATTTTTTTTATTATTTTCGGATTATTTAGCCATTTTTTATCTATTTTTTATTTTTTAATATATTTTTTAATTTTTTTAAAACAAAAAATTGATTTTTTTTTTCTCGACAAGTTTACAACTCCGAATATGACTATAGTTGAATATGACTATATGTGACTATGTAGACATATTCTTTCTTTATATTGCAATTCTTTATATTTTCAACTTAAAAATTGCGATTATATAGTGTAGTATATATAGTCATGTTTACCAAATTATATAAAACAACGAAGATTCCCTATTGTTTACGAAAACAATCCAATCAAAATTCACACAAAAAATAACAATTTTGAATCTAGTTATTAGAAGTCAACTTGAAAACGAGAAGATAGAACATATTCGAATATGACTATAGTCATATTCAACAATAGTTATATTCGAATATAACTACAGTCATATTCGAAAAATACATGTATATGACAATAGTCATATTCGAATATGACTATAGTCATGTTACTGCTGCTGTTCAGATCTGAAACTGTATTTTCAGATCTGAAAACAAAAAAAAAATCGAAAAATACGTAAATTAAGATAGAAAAATAACGAAAGAGAGGCATGGGGAGTCGACGACAACGGCGGTGGTGAAGAAAAGAGAGTGAGAGAGGCGGCGACGGTGGTGGTTGTGGTGGACAAATCTGGAAAAAAATAATAAATAAACTGAGAAATCGAGAAAGATAACGAAAAAGAGATAAAGAGCCTTACGTGGAAACGAAGGAGGAGGCGACGACAACGAGCGACGATAATAATGGTGGTGTACAAATCTATGTGGAGACGATGGTGGTGTAAAGAGAGAGAAATCAAGAGAGACAACGAACAGGAGAAAGTAATAAATCACTAATCGAGTGAATCAACAATAGTCATATTCGAACCAGAGTAGTCACGTTGATGCTACTGTTTCAGATCTAGAGAGAAAAAAAAAGAAAAAAAAAATCAAAAATAACAAAAGGGAGGGAGGGTGAGGCGACGACCACGGAGGTGAATGAAAGAGAGAGTGAGGACGTGGCTACGGTGGCGGTGGTGGACAAATCTGGAAAAAAAAAAAAAAAAAACTGAAAAATCGAGAGAGAACGAAAAATGGAAATCTCCGTGTAACACATCCGATGAAGGGCGGCGACGAGGTGGGGGAGACACCGCGCGCCAACACTTGTACGAAGGAGGGCCTCCTGCATTAGGTTTCGGCCGGCCGCTGGTTGAATGGTTTTGTTGGCTCCGGCGGTGCCGAGTGCATGAACAACGGTGGTTATGGTGAGCGAACTACGACGGTAGTGTGAAAAGAATGAAGAGGGCGCCGGCGGGTATACAGATCTGCAGAAAGAAAAAAAAGAAAAAAAGAAGAAGACGAAGAGAAATTGAGAACGACAGAGATAAGAGAAATAGAATAAAATTGTATCATGTTAAAACCCTAACCACATAAGGGTACTTTAGTTTTATCATGTTTGGTTAGGAGGTCTCGCTAATTAAGAATAAAACTTGAGTATAGACAAAATTCTCTAAAAGTCAATTGACTTTAGTTCAAAATATTTTCTATTTGAGGGGTATTGCATATTTTCCCAATAAAATTATAAATTGAAAAAAATGATCTAACATCCTAAATTAAATGTCAATTTTCCTTCGAACCCCTCGAAAACCAGCGCCTTCTATATTTCCACCCCAAAAAAGTATAAATCAGCACACACCGAGAAAACCTCTCCTGAAGCCACGCCAATATATTTTCTTTTAATCATAAATAAATTTCGAAAATTGTTCATCAACAAAGAGAAAGATGACTCGGGCATCCAAGAGAAAATCCGACCATCAAACTTCTGAATCTGTGAAAAGTGTTCGCACCGATTCTGTTCGTTCTGGTATATTCTGCCCTGCGCAATTTTATTCTTATTTTTTTTGTGTTTATTTATTGCATATTTTATTTTTCAAATATAATGTTTTTTTTTATTAGTTTTCCGTGGTATTGAATGTAAATTCTTGGTTCTGGGTTTTATTGGTGCCGTGTAAATTGATTGATTCCTGGACTAGGGCTAATTTTCTGTTTCTTGATGAAGTTAAAACATAGGGTCTAACTAGAATTGAATTTCCCCTTCGTTTGATTAAATCTGAAATTGAAGTTTAGTAAATCTAAGTTGATTTTTGAATTTTGAAATTCGACGACAAATTCAACAAGCTAAGCTCTTTTCTTATCGAGTAGTTTAGGCGTAGTTTGCCTTGAAATCGAAATTCGAGTAGGGTATGTAGATGGTTTTATCAATCAGTTGGCCCGGATTCTTTTACCGAACGAATCGGGCAAATAGAGCAAATTCGTAAATTTTCTCTTTTGCACAATACGATATGTCTAGTCGCCTTTTTGTACAAGATATTTGAATTAGCAAGTTCGAACATTACGGGATTTCGATGAACTATTTTTTTAATTTACGTCCATAATAAGTTACAATGTGTTTACATTTGGTTTTCAGCTTCGAGTAAAGCTGCGATGAAGTTGCAAGAACGCATTGATGAACTTTACAACAAATACGCAAACACAGCGTCGGCCATAATTGAGTGAGTAGTTGTTCGATTATATATTGTCGTTACCAATTTATTGTTACATGTATAATGAACGTGCTTTTATTTCCGAGGATTGCTCGACAAAATCAGAATATCTTATTTTTCTAAATTTTGTCGTACAGCCCAGAAGGCATCGAGAAACTATGCTCTGATTTACAGGTGGATTATACCGATGTCAGGATTTTGATGCTTGCTTGGTAAGCTATTTTATTGTAGAAAGATCGTACAAGTTTGCTCGAGGTTTACTCTGTATTTTGCTATGAAACCGAGCCTTAACAAATTTCACTTTTTGTTTGAAGGAAAATGAATGCTCAAAAGCAGGGATATTTCACTCAGGTGAGTCCCGTTTCTGTTAAACATTTATCAGTTATTTTGCATTTATTAGCATGTGGAAAAGCTATGTTGCGATAGGTTTATTTCTTTTCTCATTCTATTCTTAGGCCTCGTTTGGTTGGGGAGATTAGCCATGATTAACTAAATAATGGGACTTTGTTTGATGTTTGGTATCCTTAATAACTTGCCGGGTGGACCGGCAAATATTATGTTATCTTGCCTTTTAGGCATGTTTTTTTATTCGACCTTCTAAGGTCCAATAATACAATTGGGTTTCATTTAAATTATTTAATTTTATCTTGGCTAATCTTATCTTGGCAACCAAACAAGGCCTTAGGCAGTTAGGCTATTATGATTATTAATATATCATATCTCATTCGACTATGCATTTGATAGGATTGTAGATGTCCTTTGCGTGTACTAGGGCTTGTACATTGTCCAAAAAATATTTAATAATTCGCGTGTAATAAGCTAGTGTGTTTGTATTCTTCGGTTTTCCAATCATTGAATCTTCTTGTGAAGGAAAAAAAGAAAAGAGAAACTTATGGGAATTCTTTAACTTGAGAAGATTTTGCAGATAATTCGAACATTGTACATTTGTCACGTCGTGCCGTGGTGTTGCTTTATCCGTAAATGTTTATTCTTAATACGCAGGATGAATGGCGACGAGGGTTTAAAGCTCTTAAAGTCGATACTATAAATAAACTGAAGAAAACACTACCGGACCTTAAGAAAGACGTCTTGAAGTCGGATAATTTCGTGGACTTCTATAACTATGCTTTCCGTTACTGTCTAACAGGTTTGTGTTTACGGAATATGTTGTGCGCTTTTATTCTTTTTTTTGTTTTCTTGTTGCAAGTTTCTGTTTGTTATTTTCTTGTGCCTCGGATATTTTTTTGGTTACTAAAATTTGACATATGTTCGACTCTTTTCAGAAGAAAAGCAGAAATGCTTAGACATCGAGAGCACCTGCATATTAATAGATATGGTTTTAGGGTTCCAATATCAGCCCCAAGTTGATTCCTTCATTAAATTTCTTAAGGTATTTATTTTCTCGTTAACCTACTAGGAATCTATTTTTATTTTTTATTTTTTGTTTAATTTTGATATATATATATATATATATATATATATATATATATATATATATATATATATATATATATATTTGGCTGTCTCGAATTACCCTAACCTGGATAATTACGGACGTCCTTCAATGTAATGATTATTTGATTTGATGTCAGATCCAAAGTGACTACAAGGTGATGAACATTGATCAGTGGACAAACTTTCTTCGATTTTGCCAAGAGGTTAACTTTTAATTCGTCGATTTGCACCATTATATATATATATATATATATAGTTAAACCTCTATAAATTAATATAGTCGGAACTAGGAAATTCTATTAATTTAGCGAATTATTAAATTATCGAGTTAATAATTTAACACGTTTTCACCAAGTCGGGACTGAGAGAAACTATTATTTAATCTAGGTTATTAATTTATCGAGGTTCTACTGTATATGGTTTGTTTTGTATGGTTTTTTATTTTAAGTTGCATCAAACTGAAAAGTAGTTGTTGGTGCCTTCTTTGTTCCAATTGAGCTATGATTTTTATTTTTATTTTTTTGTCCCGTGTATGATTTATATACGGATCTTCTAGTTTATTCAATTATTTTATTATAAGACGGTATTTCTTTCACAGATAAGCTTTCCGGACCTTGCGAATTACGATACGGGCGAAGCGTGGCCTTTACTTCTCGATAATTTTGTTGAATGGATGAAACAAAACGCAAATGTAGACTCCCCCTAATGTTTCTCGAGTTTCAGACAAGGTAATAAAATGTTCAGACCAGGGTTCACCGTTTTAATTAATTTTTTTCTAAACTTCGTTTCGATTGCAGGTTTTGCAGAATCCTAAATATTGAGCAAGGCATACTTCCTTGGACTATACGCTGAAGGTCACCTGTACGATTTTTGAATTTTTTTTTTTTGATTTTTTTTTCGATATAACTATAGTTTGCAAGCTGTTATGGAGATCGTTACACATTTTCCAAGTTTTTGTATCAATTGACACGTAAAAGTTGGGGAATCATTTTTTGAAATATACATGAGAAATGGATGCTATGTTGCCTAAGCCTTCGTTCGGTTGGGTAGATTAGCCATTATTAACTAAATAATTAGATTTTGGTTTCATGTTTGGTATCTCAATAAGTTGGTAGGTCAACTCGCAAATATTATATTATCACAATTTATCGTTCTTTTTAGGGATTTTTTTGTAGGATGTCTTGGGGTCCGATAAAATAATTGGATTGTTATTAGATTATTTAATTTTATCTTGACTAATCTTATTTTGGTAATCAATGGAGGCTAAAATGTTTTCCTTTTTTTTTGAATATTTTTTTTTTCTTTTTTTTTTTTGGTAATTTTCAAAACATTGGAACACATTTTAGTAGCAAAAATCTTTATATCATTTTAGTGGCAAGTCCGAAATTGGTAGCGGTGGTAATATTTATTGAAAATACCTAACATTTATGATTTATAAATTGATAAAAGTAAAAAATAAATAAAAAATACGTATATGAATTTATATATATTCCACTATATTTATTATTATAATTAAGATTATTATTATTATTTGAAGCGTAATGGGCCAAGCCGAAAAATCATATTATTATAATTTATAAGCTGCGACAAACGTATCTCACAAACTTTATAGAAGCAAAAGGGTGCCAAATCTTATATTCTATGAGAATCTCAAGTGGTCCTACGTAAGCCCTTTACAGCCAGCTAATCAGATTCCGAAACGTGGAGCTAATCTTGACAGTTGTACATCCAAGCTTTACATGCTTGTACCTTTTTTTGTCATGGTACAACTTAAGTTGATGCCAAGTACAATCATTTCCAGAGTCCTTTTCACTCTTTGAGAGAATGAATATTGTGATTTATGAAGGCATCTTCCTTCCCTCCGGTGGCATTGGCAGAGGGGCCATGGCCCCCAATATTTCTTATATGTAGAAATAAATAAATAAAACTTGCATAATAGTATTAATGGTTCCTCCTAAATTATTTTAATACATTTGGCGCTCTGAATTTAAAATTCTGACTCCGCTAGTGTTTTCCTCCATTTTTCATCTCTTTCTTCGCTTAGCACGTAACACTTTCGTACTTCATTTTTCACACGAAAGTGAACATTATATTTTTTTTTTAAATGTTATGTCGATAAGTTTACCATACTGTAGTCGGCTACATAAGTAGAGGATACATTTAGATTTGTACTTTCGTGTTTGTTGTTGATGAAGCTCTTCATTAAGAGGGATATTTGAAGATTTTCAAAAGTTTGAATGGCAATTCGAATTTTCGTTAGATCTAAAGAAGTGGAAATCGATTGACGGTGAGTGTCTAAAGCCTTCTTGTTAAGTTCCAATATTTTTTTAAATATGATATAGAATCTGATATTGACAGAGAAATTTATTTAATGAACTAAGAGTACTGAGTGAAACCCTACCGAAAAGAAGCATAAATAACAATTAGAATGTCAAATTACTTGAAAGAGATGAATGATAGTTTTTTTTATAATGCATTAGTTGTTTTATCACCTATATCTACCAATAGTAGTTGCCTCTGCATAAAGAAATTTCTCAAAATTGAAGTTAATCAACTACCTTCGATAAGCCACGAGCTAGGAAATTACTAACTGGATTAACTATGTTTCTCATTGAAAAAAATTTTGACCGAAAAACTTGATTTCACTGGATTGATTAGTAATTTTGCAGCTCAGAAAGTAATTAAGAAGAATTATTTTTCAATGACATCAGATCTTGTACATTTCAATAGTTCGAATAGTTATAACTATATTATTTGAAATACTAAACGTATATCAATTTGAGACAATTATGTGTTTATCGCATTTTTTAGTCCTTATTTTGATGTTAATACGATGTCACATAGAATCAACATTCATTTATTTCTATATTAATGTTTAATTATATATACAATGAGCTCCATTTCAACCACCTTTACGAAATTCGCCTTGAGCCTCCGAAATCCTAAGAATGAACCTAGTCGCATATATAGTATAGTATAAGAAATTGGATATTTTATAACAATCTTTACAAGGAATGAATCTTTTTTGCAAAATTAGCATTCTAATCAACACACATTACATAGTACGAATATGCAGTCAAGAAGAATAACCTTCTAGAGAAAGTGTTCTTATTGGATGGTGGTTTATACTGCTTATAGGCTTAATTAACCTCTTGCTATTATTCAAATTAAATAGGTTGTTAACTTTGTATAGCTGGACTGTAAATGAAATGATTACTACAAAAAGGAAAATTATACATAATTAGCAATTTAACATTCAACTCCTAAATTATTACCAAGATTCTGTTGTTATGAGTATTTTATTCACCAACTTTTACAAAAAAGACACAAATACCCTTCAAGTAAATTTGTGCCATAAATCTAGGATTTTCCTTATTAAGGTGAAGTTCTACATATTTAGTTCACTAATAATATTTTTTTTTTAAATAATTCTAAGTGTAGTGCCGGTAAAGATGGTCTCCCATTTCATTTAATATTAGAATTTATTGAAAATATTGCAGTTAATTCATTCAAAATCCCACCACCCTTAAAATTTTGAAGAGTGTTTGGTTAAACTTATAATATAACTTATAAGCTCTTTCAAAGTGTTTGGTAAAAAAAATTAAATAGGTTTTAACATAACTTATCGGACGTGACATTTTATCAAATGTAACAACTTATAAGTTCATTATTCAAATATTTTAAAAATTAATTATAAAAATAAGACGTAATATCATATCAACTTTTAAAACAACTTATTAGACGTATGAACTTATCAAATGTTTAATATAAACAGGGCCGGTCCTGACTTGTTTGGGGCCCTAAGCGAATTTTTAAAAAATGACCATTTTATGATTAATGCTTATTTTACTAGATAAAACAAACAAAAATAATACATTATGAGATTAGTTAATGAGGATAAAAATGCATAAACCTGCACTAGATATCATTGAAATTTTTATATTTATTTTTATTATTATTTTTTTTATTATTTTGTTTTAGTTGCACCATAAGTTATGAAAAGAAAGACGAATTCTCTTTTTTTTTTTCTAATGATGGATGGTAAAATATTAAATTTGATGAAGTAGGATTTTTTTTTCATCTCAATGCTTGATAGAAAATTGTACAATTAATTTGAGCATTGATTGAAATAGCCTCTAAAACCCAATTAAATATTGTGATTTATAAAAACCCATTTTAAATTACTAAAACACAAGATTATTTATATATGTATATATACTTTTTTTTTTTTTTGGGGGCCCCCTTAGAAAGTGGGGGCCCAAAGCCATTGCTTGTGCAGCATGGGCTCAGGGCCGGCCCTGAATATAAACTTAGCCAAACGAGCTCTTAATTAGGGTAGTCCTCATCCAATTAGAGGGTGATTAGAAAGGAATGCCCAAATCATTGATAAGAGACAACCTTAAAACATTTCCAAAACAACATTATTTATCCGTGGAAAAGATGACAAAAATATGAACACCAAAAAAAGGAACAACGTGTCGAAAAAATGGTGGCTTTACATAATTGTACTTTTGAGGGGAAAGTACAATAATATAATTATGGGATGTGGGTGTATGGGATCTCTTGGTGGGAACTACACAGTGAATAATTGCCCCTCCAAAAAGTCTCCCACTTCCAAAAATTGCATGCTTTCTTATATGGCTTCAGATTTAGAGAGAGAAAGTGATAGAGAGAGGAAAAAAGTTACTGTAAACAAAAAAAAAAACCTCCATTATTTGTCTCTTCAATTATTCAGTTCCCACCACACACACACATGGATATGCAATACATACACTAATCTGTATCTATATCCATATTTTTTTTACCAATAATAATACTTGCCCTTTTGTCATCATTCACTAATATAACAGAAGGGGGGAGAAAAAAGCCAACGACAAAAAAGATCTACATAACAGAGAGAGAGATTGAGAGAGAGAGAGAAGAGAGAGAGAGAGAGAGAGAGAGAGACTATCAACTGATACGATTTTGGTGTATTTTGTTGGGTTGAAAACCATCATCATTGTCCATATGTACAGCTTTACTTACTTCAAATAAGTCTTGGCCCTGTCTTTTCTCTCTCTTCTCTCTCTCTCTATAACCACACAGTCACGGTGTAGTTCTCTGTGTGTGTGTGTGTTTTTTTTTCTCCCTCAATTAGTGACGAATCTTCGATTTATTTACAGTGAGAGAGGCTTTTGGCATCTGGGTTTGTGTAGAATAGTTCAAGAAAGCGACTTCTGGCTTTTTTTTTTTTTTTTTTATAAAAAGACTCGATTTTTAGGCTTCAATTTGTGGGGTTTTTTTCATCTGGGCTGTTTGGAATTGTGGATAAAAGAAGATGACTGTGGAGAAAACTAGGGGCGGCGACGAAAATTGCGACAATTTTCCAGTGGGTCTGCGTGTTCTTGCTGTTGACGACGACCCCATTTGCTTGAAATTGCTCGATACCTTGCTTAGGAAATGCCAGTATCACGGTATTTGTTCTTCTTAATGGTTGACATTTTTTTCCTTGCTAATTTCATATAAAAAATCTGTTGCTAATTCTTGAATTGGTTTGACTTTGAGTGTAATTGCTTGTTTCTCTGTCTTTGGGTTTCCAATCTTTTGTGAGATTCTTGAACATTTCATAGGGTATGGATTTTGTGGATCCAGTTGTTCCACTTGCCGAATTTCCGAAGGTTCCGACTTTCGTTTGTTGTCTGTGTGGTTTGTGGTCCTTGTCTTAGATTGAACTTGATACCTAGTACCCTATGGCGATAAATGCAGTTGGGGGTAAAATTAATTTGGTCCCTTCTCGATTCTTCCTTGAAAACCGAACGCTTTTCTCACCGTTTTTAAAATCGAATTTCATGGATGAATCTTGAATCTCATAAATTTTGAAAGGTTCCGACTTTCGTTTGTTTTCTGTGCGTTTGGGTCCTTGTCTTAGATTGAACTTGATACCTAGTACCCTATTGCGATTAATGCAGTTGGAGTACAATTAATTTAGTCCCTTTTCGATTATTTCCAAAGATATGCTCACTTCGTTGTCGTCTTCGTTTCTTCCTCGAAAATCAAACGCTTTTCTCACCATTTTTTAAATCGAATTTCATTGATGAATCTTGAATCTCAGAAATTTCAAAGGTTCCGCCTTTCGTTTGTTTTTCTGTGTGTTTTGGGTCCTTGTCGTAGATTGAACTTCATACCTCCTATGGCGATTAATGCAATCGTAGTGAAATTAATTTTAGCCCCTTTCCGATTATTTCTAAAGATATGCTCACTTCGTCGTCTTCATTTCTTCCTCGAAAACCTAACGCTTTTCTCACTGTTTTTAATTCGAATTTCACTGATGAATCTTGAATCTCATAAATTTCAATGGTTCCGACTTTCGTTTGTTCTCTGTGTGTTTGGGTCCTTGTCTTAGATTGAACTTGATACCTAGTACCCTATGGCGATTAATGCAATTGGAGTAAAATTAATTTAGTCCTATGCTCACTTGGTCTTCGTTTCTTCCTCGACAATCAAACGCTTTTCTCACCCTTTTTTTTTTAAATCGGATTTCATTGATGAATCTTGAATCTCACAAATTGCTTCCCCTTTTCAATATATATGTAATGATTTTTTTCTGTTGGATCTTTGAAAACGAACCAATGCTCCGAATTTACATGAAATATTTTTTTTTCTTCGATTTTTCGACAGTTACTACAACCAGTCAGGCAAGAATGGCTTTGAAGATGTTACGGGAAAACAGAGACAGGTTCGACGTAGTCATAAGCGATGTCCATATGCCCGACATGGATGGTTTCAAGCTTCTCGAACTCGTCGGTCTCGAAATGGATCTACCCGTTATTAGTAATATTCCTATTTCCTTTTTTCTTTCTTTCGTACAAAAGTAATATTCCTATTTCCTTTTTTCTTTCTTTCGTAAACAAAAAATTCGAGATTTTTTGTTTAAATTTCAATTCTAATCGTTTTTACAATTTACAGTGTTGTCAGCAAATGGCGACCCGAAACTCGTGATGAAAGGGATTACTCACGGTGCTTGTGATTATCTGCTCAAACCCGTTCGAATCGAGGAGCTGAAGAATATATGGCAACACGTACTCAGAAGAAAAAAATTCGAACCCAAAAACCAGAATAATAAATCGAGCGATCAGAATGCAAACGCGGACCAAAATGGAGATCAGAATGGGAAATTCAGCAGAAAGAGGAAAGAAGATGAAGACGTGAGTGAAGATAATGGGAACGAAAGTGACGACCCTTCGTCGCAGAAAAAGCCACGTGTCGTTTGGTCTATCGAGCTTCATCGGAAGTTTGTTGGAGCTGTGAACCAATTGGGAATCGAAAGTAAGTTTCTTTTCCTTTTTTTTTTTTTTTGCATGCATGTCTTTCGGTTATTTTGCACATTTTTCACGTGTGTGTAATAATAATTCCTTTTTCGTAAATTGCAGAGGCTGTGCCAAAACGGATTCTTGACCTGATGAATGTCGAAGGGCTGACACGGGAAAACGTGGCGAGCCATCTCCAGGTCACTAATTTTATTACCTTCTCTTGTTCGTTTCTTTGCGTAAATGACGTATCTTTTCATCGATTATATGACTAAGAAGACGAGGTCATTAATATATTCGGTACAATTCAAGACTCGGTTGATACGAAACTATGTGACTACATGGTATATGATTTAATCGGATATATTTTCAATTTTTCCACGGATAATAGTAAATGTATAAAGCTTATCAAACGAGGCCTCAAAATATTATATCTTAAGGCCTCGTTTGGTTCCCAAGATAAGATTAAATAATCTCATGAAAACCGAATTAGTCAAGATTACTGGCCGGCCCGAAAAGTTAATCAACGATGTTTAATTACTTAACTAATCAGGGCTAATCTTACAAGCAAACGAGACGTTAATTCTATACATCAGTCCTTTTAAGTACTTCTTGAATTTTTTATTTCTCCTAATTATTGCAGAAGTATAGGCTATACCTGAGGAGAATTAGTTCAGTTGCAAATCAGCAAGCAAACATGGCATCTGCACTCGGAATTAAAGATTCACCTTTCATGCGCATGGGTCCGTTCGAAGATTATCGAACTTTATCCGCACAAGGAAGACTCACGCCAAACGCACCCTTATCACATTACACAACAAACGGAACCATGCTCGGTCGGCTAAACACCCCTGCTAATAATATAAACCTCCATAATCTTATAACCCCATCAACCCTAATCCAACCAAATCACGCCCAAATCTCGAAAATCTCACCCTCGACACAAAACCCTAGTTTATTTCAAGGAATTCCATCTCCATTAGAGCTCGATCAGTTACAGCAGAATCTCGTGAGCTTCAACGGCGTAGGAGGGTTCGGGAATATTCCATCTTACAACTCGGAATCTTTCGATGCTTGTGTTAATAATAATAACGGTTCTGCCATGCAGCAGAATTTGTTGCTTTCCACCGAGCCAACTTTTCACAATAGCTCGAGGCATAATGGTTTTTCGGGGGGTGCGTATTTACAGAACAACCCTTGTGATATTATTTCTCCGACCACCATGGCTGCTTTACCTATGGAGGATTGTAGAGAAATGCAGAATTATGGGCACGGTTCGAAAAGTACTTTTGGAATGCCGAACGGTTTGATTAACCCTTCGAACGGTGCGGTGTTGTCTCCCTTGAGACAGGATTTGGACCAGGGTGGTGGAGTTTTTAACGAGAAGATGCAAATGTTTGTGAATGGCAGATTGGCAACGGAATCGAGAGGAATGGGTGGTAATGACGGTTTTGCCCTTTTGGAGCAGCCGAAGATGCATGGGGGGTTTTTTCTCGGACCAGGTGGCTGGATGATATGATGAATGCTATGATCAAACGGGTACGATTATTATTATTATTATTATTATTATTATTATTATTATTATTATTATTATTATTATTATTATTATTATTATTATTATTATTATTATTATTATTATTATTATTATTATTATTATTATTATTATTATTATTATTATTATTATTATTATTATTATTATTATTATTATTATTATTATTATTATTATTATTATTATTATTATTATTATTATTATTATTATTATTATTATTATTATTATTATTATTATTATTATTATTATTATTATTATTATTATTATTATTATTATTATTATTATTATTATTATTATTATTATTATTATTGTTATTATTATTATTATTATTATTATTATTATTATTATTATTATTATTATTATTATTATAATATTTATTATTATTATTATTATTATTATTATTATTATTATTATTATTATTATTATTATTATTATTATTATTATTATTATTATTATTATTATTATTATTATTATTATTATTATTATTATTATTATTATTATTATTATTATTATTATTATTATTATTATTATTATTATTATTATTATTATTATTATTATTATTATTATTATTATTATTATTATTATTATTATTATTATTATTATTATTATTATTATTATTATTATTATTATTATTATTATTATTATTATTATTATTATTATTATTATTATTATTATTATTATTATTATTATTATTATTATTATTATTATTATTATTATTATTATTATTATTATTATTATTATTATTATTATTATTATTATTATTATTATTATTATTATTATTTAATGTTGTGTTTTTATTTTTATTTTATTTATTGATGTGTAGGAACAAGATGAAGGGGTACAAAATGGCAGCTTTGGATTGGATGATTATTCGTTCGGACCGTGTTTATGAGGCTCCGTTTGTCACTCTTTATCATGGCTAGCTGCAGGAGATTAAAGAAAGGAGAAAAATGTAATTTCTCAATTAGGAGTTTGTGTCTATATGTTTCATTTGTGTTTATCTTTTTATTTGAAGAAGAATCTTTTTAGAGTAAATTCATGTTCATGTTTAATTTTTAAATATGGGGCTGCAATTGAGAATAGCATTTTAGAGTTGCAGTTGGTGTTAATTGTCAGGAGGAGAAACTCTCTCAACTCCTTCTTACTGAGATAAATAAGGGGTTTGCTATTATCAGTCTGGTTTTTATCACTCGCAATGCAAAATAATTCTTTTTTTTTTCTTTTCTAAATCTTATCCAAACCCCCTCTCAAACACTCTCAATCTTTAATTCTTGAAATGTTTCAAATTCAATAATTTTTCGACCAATATCAGTTAGAGCACAAGTATTATTCGGCTTCGATTTTGAGGTGAAAGTACACGTTTTTTGTTCATTTCCAACATTTTTAGATCTTTCGTGTTATACACACGAAATATATACTTCCATTTTGCGTAATATTATACGAAATGTGTCTTAAAATCGTTTGTTGTTTGTTTCGTAGAAAAACATACGAAATTAAAGCTTACATTTCGTAGAAAAACGTACGAAATGGAAGCTCTTATTTCGTATGTTTTTACACGAAATTGTAGCTTACATTTCGTGTTATTTCATATGAAATCCCTTATATATTGTCTTTTAATTTCAAATGTTTATGCAGGAACTAAGAGAACAATCTCACGATCATAGTCATGTCTTTGAACGTGGTATTGTGTGTGATAGTAGAGAAGCGTTAATTATGTGGGCAAAAGACACAACAATTAGTCATAATCATCGACTGATTAATCGTTGTAAATCAGAAAAATATCATGTTTTAACGTGTGCAAGATATCAATCTGGACGACACGTACTATTGAAGAAACGTTCTTGCCCGTTCAGGTTAATTGGCAAAAAATCAACGGAGGATGGATTATGGCGATTGAGTGTGAGTAATGGTAATCATAACCATCTGCCATGTATTTGAAAGTTTAACTTATGTTTAAATTTGTATTTGTTTTAATTTTGCATTTTAATGTTTAATTTATGTTTTGGAATATTTAAATTTGTAACGTTGTGTTTTGCATATTTATGTTTAACCTATGTTTTTGGAATGATTAAATTTGTAAGGATGTTTTGGAATGTTTAAATGTGTACTTTAATTGCTTCAGTTGTACCTAGTTTCTAAATTCAAATAAAAAAACTAGTGAATTAAATACAATACAACAAACTAGTAAATTAAATAGTTCGTAATAATAATAAACAAAACTAGTAAAATAATTAGTTCCTAATAATAATGAAAACAAATTATTAAATTAAATAGTTCCTAACAATAATAAAAATGCGTAGTCCTAATAATAATAAAAATAAAATTTAAAATTAAATAGTTCATAAAAATACATAACTGGCAAAAAAAATCGATAAACTACCGCCTCGCTCTTCTCGGCGGCTGCACCTCATGATCGTCGTCGTCGTCGTTGTCGTTGTCCTGGTTGATGCCAATATATCGGGCGGCGGGCTGCATAATATCTCCAAGATCGGCACGTAGATCGACAAACTGCTGCATCCAGTCCTGTCCAGTGCTTCTGATGATCGGGTACAATGCACGTACTATCTGGCAATAAGCCGGCTGATCTGGTGGCCTCACATTCTCTCGATGCAGTGGAGCCGGGCCTACGTCGGAGTTGTTGATCTTCAGATGAGTCCGATCGGTATACCACTCCATGTAGTGCTCGTCGACTTCCCCCCGTTGTCGTGCCGTCTTGTATACGTTGGCACGAATGGAATGAGCCTGGACCATGTCCCACATACCACCCGGAAATGGGTAGTTGACTTTGTACGATGTACCTCCTTTGGGACCGCGTGAACATGGCTCCATTGATGGAATCAGGCCGCGCAGAATATCCTGGACCCACCCAAACTGTCGGACGCAACGATCATGCATATATGGCTCTACGACCCACATGTACTGGATCGTGCCATGATACAACGTACGAGGGATACTCTCGTGTATATCCCGACCATACAGTAGCCACTCGACCTAAACAGAAAACAATATAAATACATAAAACAAAACATTCATATTTAAAATACAAACATAAACCGAAAAATTCATATTTAAACAAACTACAATTACGTAAAATCGAAAATTTTATATTTTAAAAAATATAAACACATAAATCGAAAAATTCATATTTAAAAACAAATATAAATACATATATATAAAAAACTTACATCATCCGCTGTCATATTGTCGAGTAAACCTCAAATATGCTCGAGTGTGCCCGCTTTTGGTAGCGCGTTCCACCTCTTGCATCGAGGCTGAAACTCGCGATGCCGCCCGCTCTCCTCCGGCGGCTGGAATCTCAGGAAATACTTGTATATCCAGCACTGCAATATTTTATTTAAAGATATTTAGGGAAATAAACAATAGAGAATATATAAATTTAAAAACATTATCAACAAAATAAGTACAAAAATATATTACAATTTACCTGAAGAAGGGTGGTGCAACCCGCCAAGCTCCTCGACTGTGCTCGACTGCATATACCCAACTCCCTGTATAGATTGTCCAAACAGGCCGAACCTCACGAATACGTGCCGACCTGATCAAGCAATGAATCCTCGAGCACGTGCATATACCACGGCTTCACCCGATCACATGTCTTGTCGGGGAATAAAATCGATTCGAGGAGAAACACCAGATATATCTGAACTCGGCCTCTCATAGGCGTGTCGGGCATCAACAACTGTCCATGTATCATCCTCCATGTGGGGCCCCCACGCTTCCATGACTCGTCAATCTCCTCAAAATCGAGGTTTAATACCTCGGACAACAAATACACGCAGTTTGTCGCTCGATGACCTCGTCGTACCTAGGCTCGACCACTCGTCCCTCCACATTGGCACCTAGAATCATCTGGACATCGTGGAGAGTGATAGTCATCTCTCCCCACAGCACATGGAAGTTGTTCGTCTCCGGCTGCCACCGCTCCACGAATGCAAACAACAGCGGAGCATCTAGGCGCGGTAAATAACATCGGGCTAGGGGATACAAACCGGTCATCCGCAGAAAATGCTTGTCTACGGATACACCTATGTCTTCTAGGGCAGCTGTTATCTTCTCGTAGTTGAAATGGTTCAGGGAGTTGATACGGGACTCACTCTTCCAACCTGACGTTCATGCAATCATTTATTTAGAAAACATATTAATTAATCAACTATAAAAATATTTTAATATAAGATACAAAAATTATAATATTAAAATTAAAACATGTAATTAACTTACTTCTCCCCTCCAAATATATGCCACTACGTGCGACTTGAAACTCGTAATCAAAGACGGATCCCGCGGGCCACCGGGAAATGGAAATCTAGCACATCCGGATTGACTCAAGTATGAGCTCGACCTCCATGGCCCCGTCCTCGGCCTCCACGACCTCCACGAGCTACAACCTCAGTCTCGTGAACGGGATCCACAGCATCCTCATCCTCCTCCTCCATAGCACGAGAAGACCCAACATCGGGATCAGCAACCGATGATCTGGCTTCACCAGCTCTCTCAGCCTCTCGCCTACGTCTTGTAGACATAGTCATGCGCTCGCGCTCTTGATGCTCAGCCTCTTCACGAACTGCTCGCATAATTGCCTTTGATTTGCCTTTGTCTGCCATCTGTTAAATAAGACACTATTAACGTCAATCTAAATAAATAATGATAAATAAAACAAATCTTAAAAAAAAAAAGAAATTTTCCAGTTATTTCGTGGAAAAACACACGAAATTAATGCTTACATTTCGTGTTTGTGTTCACGAAATACAAGCACTAATTTCGTGTGTTTTTGCACAAAATAACTGGAAAATGGCCGAAACGTAAGAAAAACAAACAATCCTGCTAATTTTGTGGAAAAAATCACGAAATTAACCCTTTAATTTCGTGATTTTTTACACGAAACGCAATTTTTTTCCGAAAAGTTTCGAATTTCTTCGAAATACTGAAAACGTATAGATTTTCGACGAAATTTGTTACTATACTACTATAAAACATTGGGTTAACAATTTCGAGTTTGAGTTTTACCTTAAATCGTTTTTGAATTGCTCGTTTAATCCGCAGGAATTCGAAGGACCTTGGATAGGGTTTTGAGAGGATTTTGAATTTTGAATTGCTCGTTGTTGAGAGGATTTTGATTTTTTTGAAGAAAAGTTACAAATGAATATAGTCGCACTGCAAGCCGGTAAAAGTTGTTCTATGAATAGCATTTCAGGATAAATAAGGAATGCTTAATTCTTTAGTATCTTATTACTTATTTATTTTATTCCAAATTGTTGAAGCTTTTTTAGATGGTGTTGGCCAAAGTTTTTGGAATTTTAGTGAAAGAAATATAACTTTTGCTTTAACTTCTCTCAAGATATTTATTTATGGGTTATTAGAGCTAACCTCAATGGAGTAATTAAATGGTATATCAAAACCACTATTTTGATATTCCAAATTAAAAAAATTGGCAAATTTTACTTTCCCACCTTGTACTTTAACTTGGTACCAATTTATTCCCTTCTACTTTTGATTTCATCGATTTGCCCTTCTATATTTGAAAAATTGTCTCATTGTGGCTCTCGCTGTTAGTTGTCAGATATTTGACATTAACATCATTTGGTCTAAGCTCTGAAATTACAAAAAAGTCACTCCTAGTTTAAATAATTATAAGAAAAAATTAGAAATAAATGAAGGGGGCAAATCGATGCAATCGAGAGTAAAATGGAGTAAAATGATACCGAACCAAAGTATAAAATGGGGAAAGTGGAATTTAACCAAATAAAAATCCACTCCAATAGAGTTATCAAATAAAGTTTGTATTTTAATAATTTAATCTTGGGATGTAATAACAAATGGAAGTTATAACTAAATGACCACTTAGAAAATGACATCATGGAGAAATAATAACACGTGGAAGTTACAAATTTAACCACCTAAATAATCACTTAAAAAATAACACATGGTAATTAAATATATAATTATTTTATTTATATTTAATTAACCAACTCTTGATTACCTATGGTTTGAACAAAATAATTTATATATGTATCAAAATAAAATATTAATTATCAAAATTAATATTTAATATCTCATTTTGATATTTTGGTCGGAGTTGCCCTTAGGAATAGGCCCCGCAAACCGCTGAGAAATGAATTAAGTTCACCCCTAATTTTTTTTTTATTTGAGAGCCCGAAGCACTTTTTGTGCGGAAAATACCTCTCCCTCCACATAGATCATTATTTACACTAACATTTTGTATTTTTTTTTTTTCTGATTTTTTTCTCAATGTGTTTATTAGGTGGAATATGACTATATGGGTACAGCCAAATATGACTTTATTTGGCCACAATCAACTATCGTCGAATATGATTATAGTCATGTTCTGTTTGTATTCCATCAATAACAATGACTCGAATATGACTATCTTCGAATGTGGACATCATCAATGGATGTGGGTGGGCTATAGTTTGTAATGAAAGAGTAAAATAGGGGTATAACAATTCCAAAGGGGTCTCACTAATTTAAAGTGAGATTTGGGATTTAGTAAACGTCCATAAAGTCAACTTGATTTAGTTCCTAATATTTACCAATTGAGTGGGATTGTATATTACCCCTTCATTTATTTATTTTTTTTATAAAAAAACACCCCAATTAATTTGAGACTATACTCAAAATCACAACTTTAAGTCTTCCAAAAACAAATAAATTGAAGAAATAAAAACAGCTACAAAAAGTAAAGGCACTTCTTTAAATCTCTAAACAGAGATGATTCATTATCCTTAACAAATTACATTGGAACATCAAAATAATGTAAGTTCAGACATATTTAATAGGGTAAATTCCACTTTACCCCCTTGTACTCTGCCCAAGAACCACTTTACCCCCTCGTACTCTTAATTTCGTCGATTTACCCCCTTGTACTTGTACAATTTTCCAATACAACCCTCTTCGTCAACTTTTTTCGATTTTGACTCTGACGCCATTTGGTCAAGAGTCAAAATATTGACGTAAATATTGAATTTTTTCGATTTTGACTCTCGAGATTAGAAAAGAGAAAGTTTCACACATTCATATATTTTTTTCTTTGCACTGAGTGGAATCGATCAATTTTTTGGTCTTGATTTTTACTAAGTTAGGTGTTCAATTTGGGGATATCTTGGAAGGGGAAGTGGTGGAAGAAGAAGAAATGACAATATTGACGGAGGAGAAACGACGCGTCAGTGGCAATTTTGTAATTTACAGAGTTGACCAAACGGCGTCAAAGTCAAAATTGACAAAAGTTGAAGGAAAGGGCTGTATTGGGAAATTGTACAAGTACAAGGGGGTAAATCGGTGAAATTGAAAGTACGAGGGGGTAAAGTGGTTCTCAAGTAGAGTACGAGGGGGTAAAGTGGAATTTACCCTATTTAATAACTAGAAAAATACTTTCTATACTCTCACTGCAGTCTGCAGCTAACCTCCAATTTTGTGAGACACATATCTTAGCCAAAACATGCACTGAATTTTTAACACTTAGCAGAAATCGCTCGAGTATTTTTATATATATATTATCATCCTCCTGTGATTCACAATCTATATTATAGCATCATAAATAGTAAAACATATGTCTAGAGAGAGAGAGAGAGAGAGAGAGAGAGAGAGAGAGAGAGAGAGAGAGGTATTCATTCCCCTTCCCAACCGAGTTGTCTGGCTCGTGTTTCCCACAAAGAAGTGATCTTTTTCTCCTTTCTCATAAGCACTTGAGCTCTTTCTCTAGCTTCCTCGCATGTTTCTGTGGCGGTGTTGCATTTCTCGGCTTCTTTCTGATACTGTGAAGCCAATCTTTTTGCCTCTCCGAATGTAATGTTCATATGGTGCGAGTGCTCTTCGCTCACATTTTCTTGCAGCTTTATCTCTTCCGACAATAAGTCCACTAATTGCTTCTCCATCTCTTCCTTGAGGTCAGGATCGTCTTTTCCGCAATCTATTTCACAAGTCAAGATTTATACCATGTTATATATACTGCTCATGATTTCACAAGAAAATAATAGACTTCCACTGAGAAGCGAAATGCAAGTGTGTGTGTATGTTATCAAACATCAAAGTTTTAGTGCAGACCTAGATCACTTCTAGCTACATTTTTATCTAATTGGTGAATGCCATGAAAATGAATTTACAATATCATCGTAATTTTTTTCCGACTTTCAACTTCTCCGAATCAGTTGCACAACAATTGAAAGAAGAAAATTTTTAGAATCTTTAAGAATAAATTGAAATTGTTATAATGATGGAAATAACTTATCTTTACCTGTAACAGAGAGATTAGCCAAACCTGCAAGGGGAGGAAAAAAACGGAAAGTGTCAGCTAAACGGAGTTTCCTAAACCTCAAAACAAGATTGAATCAAACCATACTTGCATCTTTTTAGACTAGTGATAAAAATACATTAGAAAATAAGAATAATAAAACGGGTCGAAGTGTATAGGAAGGACGATAATGACCTCGTCACAGAGCCAAATTAATTTCTAGTTAAGGACGTGATTCAGTAGGTTGTGTTTTAGAACAAGACTATACTTTTAACAGTTCTTGTTTTTTAGCATCTTCTTCTTTACTCTTTCTCTTTGTGACTTTAAAGCGAGAGAAGAAAAGAAGAAGGGTAAAATTCCACGACGACACTTCTTGATAGCAAAGGCTTATTTGAATGAATTCTCAGTCCCTTTAACTTGCAAGAGAATACATCTTAGCTAACAACTTTCACGAATTTATAAACTATTCTTTCTGAATTGCATAACCAAGAAAGGAAGTTTATTACTCTCATAACTTGTTATTAATGCCTCCAGAGGATGTAGTGGATATGGAGCTCGTTGAATAATGAATAATGATAATATCGCACGACTGTACTAAATGCTTAAATCTTACTCAAGAGGCTACATTTACTACCCCAATAATTGAGTTCTAAAATAGGACTAAATGACGGCAGAAGTGCGTGCCTGAAATAAGATTGTGTAAACTTAAACATAATCACTAAAATCTAGACGAGGTTTTCTAAAATATGATCTAGTGATTAATTACGAGCAGAAGACTGTGACTGCAATCCTGACGCTTTTCTGCACCTACATTATTTCAGGATAGCTTAATTCGTAAGTACAACTACGATTTACAAAAGATACATAATTGCATAGGATCCCTTTGAGCGCCAGGTGTAACGTGATAATTTTATGCAGCACTTTCTGAAGAGAAGTAATGTGCAATAGTCCTTTCTCTCTCTTCCTAGCAATTTGCCAACAGCGAAAAACCACTCCTTTCAGACTATATTAGAAAACCCCGTTCATCATATTTCAGCACAAGAAAGTATTTCAATTGCTCTTATAAATCTAAGATTGTACTAGTCAAATTAACCCCGAGACAACATCTAACAATTGTGCATCGATTAATTCTTGCATCAACAATCTTATCCAGGAGAGTATATTTGTTACTTGAACTATCACAAGAGAGCGTATATTAGAAAATTATTAGTAGTCACTTTGTTTATAAAACTCAAGCTTTTAGAATGTCGTAGATTCGTGATCATAAAAAAACACAAAAAAACGCTAGTGCAAGCATAAAAAACGGCCACTCTTTCTGTTGCTGACTTACTAACGAACTTTTACCAGGCTAGAGTGCAACGAAGCTTTGTACAATTTGCATAAATACTTTGAAATTCTTTATGCAATAGAACCCAAAGATGGATAGTTGTGTTAAATTCAATGGTAGACAAATTATTACCACTAGTGTATCCCGAAAGACAAACACAATTTACTATAATACTGAGACTCGAGACGAGATTTATTACGAGACTTAAACCCAATCACCACAAGGAAAGTACTCAGTTCCAAATGCAAATTTTCCTCCCAATTATGGAAAGCAAGCTTCAAAATATTGTAGCTCAAACCGAAAAGCAATAAATACCACGAAATCTAGAACACAAGATCATACAGAACAAGAAAACATCAGAGCATTAAAACGAATTTCAGCTGAAATCTAGCAAGTTCATCGGAGAAAACATAATGGATACAATCAAAGCTCAAATATATCAAGAATTACACAAATCACCAAGAACCCATAAGCTTAAAATTAATTAAAAAAAAAAGAAGCAAACACAGAAAAAGATTTAGACATGGATCGAGAAGAAGAGAAGGTCATAATACCAGGAACAATCTGAAAAAGGGATTTCTGAGGGGCACATTTGCAAACACATGGTGGGCAAGAAGAAGAAACCCCTTTCAATTTAAAACCATTCTTCAATTTGAAATACAAAGCCGGACCAGATACACAGAGAGCTGAAACCACTGCAAATATCACAAGGCAACACCGCAAGCAAGTACCGGATCTCCTACTCATCTCTCTCTCTCTCTCTCTCTCTCTCTCTCTCTCTCTCTCTCTCTCTCTCTCTCTCTCTCTCTCTCTCTCTCTCTCTCTCTTTCTCTGTGTCTCTGTGTGTACAAGAATATGAGATCTAACAATGGGTCAGCATATTGTGGGATCTATCTCTGTAATGTGATTTATCAACGCGGTAGAAATGTTTTTTTTAGTGATTCTGGGAAATTTTGGTAGGAGTCGGTGGTGAGTGTGTGCGCACACAGTGGTGGTGTAAACGCTATAAATGTATGTAGGGGGTGAAATTAGAACATGATATCCCAATTCTGCCGATCTGAATTTTTTTATTCTTCGTCAATATTTTTTATTCCAAATTGTGAAAGTTCCAATTTCCGATTTGCCGAATTTTATTTAAACCAAATTTGGGCTAAATATTAGATTTCGATTTCCGTCAATTTTAATTTTCGAAAATATTTTTGAAAGTTACACTTATGTATTTCATAATATAATGACTACGAATATAAAAATCCCGAATTCCTACGATTCGGACCTGATTTTTTTTTTTTTTTATTCTTTTGAAATAAGTTTTTTCATTCTAATTTATGAAATTTCAATTCGAAATTTTCGGATATTATTGGAAACGAGATTGAAATTAGTTCACTCCTAAAAAATAACAAAATAAAATTAGTTGACTTGCATTAGCAGACTACGTATTAACTGACTTCAACATTAGCACCGGCACAGCGGAGAGAATAAACATACTTCACATCGGCAACGAGAGACTCAAGGAGTGAATACCCGGCTAAAGGGGGTAGCTTGGTAGTTCTGACTTGACTGACTCTTGACTCCTTCCTTCTTTCTAGTGCTTAAGGCGAAAGTGCGAAGATGAATTAGGCAGAAGGTCCAACTTTTATTCTTTTAACTTTTGTTTTCATTGATATTAAACATGAAAAAAAATTCCATGTTCATTTTGCAGTATGGTGTGAATGTCAAACATCAAGAATACTTTGCCGACACTCCATCGATCTGCTGGTTTAGATTCCCCTCCGAGAGACGAGTAAAACACACAATGTCGTATTTTAAGGTTTCGTTAAGTTGCTTTTGTAATCTCGATTGACATAATTCTCCTCAAAGTCAAATTATTGGCTATTTCGAATGTTTTGTGATCGGGAGTCTTGTGAATTTAGTACATTGTGATTAGACTTGTGTATTGCGTTTTTTCGTAATGGTGTACTTAGTATTTTACTATATTACATTATCGTATATCGGTCAAATTAATTCTCGGAGATTTTTGTTTGATTGTTTGGCTACTTACACATTCTTAGATATCCACTGACGTTCATAATTTGTTTTTTTTTTTTTTAATGTCGAATACATGCTTTTCAAATGTTTATATACAATTAAACTCATATAAATTAAATGAATTCTGGACAAATATTAATTAATTGATAAATTAATTATTATTATTTTATAAAAAATACCGGAACTTTTTTAGATAACAAGTGCACTCAAAATGCAAATTTTAATCAAATGTTATGAGTTATCGTAATGAATGAATGTCGAACATCTCGTTACTATTCTAAAAAGGATGAAACAAATGAATATTATTAAAGTTGATAATTGAGAATATTATTAAAATTGAAGATTTTAGTTTTGCTCAAGTAGCATTTTTTTTTTTTGGTTAAACGGTGAAGAACATAAATAATAGGGTAAATTACCACAACCTGAGGTATGAGTCAAATTACAAAAAAAACCTCTCTTGTTTGGTTAATTACAATCACCCCTCAACTATAAATCTTCTTACACATCCGTCCTTGCGGTGTCAAATTTAGTTGAATCTTGTTGATAATATGGAATATTCTCAATTTTTGGACCCATTTGAGCTCCACATTTTGAAGCATGATGATCAATAGATGTGTTTTTTGTCTTGTATATCAGATTGTCGTGCATCAGAAACTGCATTTTTGCACAAAACAGGTACAAACTAGAGAATATTCTGCGGAATTTAAAAGATTATGTTGAATTGTACACCATAAGGGTGGACATGTAAAAAAATTCATAATTGAAGGGATAGATGCAATTATCCAAACATGATGGGTTCTTTTGTAATTTAACCTACATCAGGGGTGGTTGTAAGTTACCCTAAATAATACAAATAGTTATTTGTACGTTAAAAAAAGAGTAAAAAGCAGTTTACCCCCTAAACTATAGCCCGTTTTGCACTTTACCCCCCAAACAAAAATTTTTTGCACGTTTTTACCTAAACTACGGTTTTCGTTGCACGGTGCCTTAAAAAGGGAATATTCAGGGCATTTTTGCTGGAATCCCACACACGTGCCTTTCACGTGATTTTTCGAAGGGTAAAACCGTCTCATCACTTAAAAACTAAAGAAGGGCTGTATTTCGGTTTTCTTTTACCGACTCGATTAACACTTCAATAATTTGTCTGCAATTTTCCCCAAATCATTTTTCTAGGGTTTTTAGTTCAAAATCTTTCCTCTCAAAATTTCTCCTGATTTGACGCGTTGGTTGCTCGAAATGGTCTGGAAATTAAGGAAAGGCAATGACGAAATTCCTCCAGCACGATTTGCTCCAGAATATGGTAAGTTACTAAAATGTTTATCGATCTTTGTTGTGCTTATTTGTTTTATGAAATCGATGACAAAGTTCATTTTTTATTCAAAATGTTTCTGTTTTTTATTCAAAATGCTTCAGAATATTTGTTTAAAATATGAAAAAGTATGGATCCCAAATACATTGTTCCCTTTTTTGAAGTATACTTGTTTATTTTTCCCACTGTCATTTCTGGTATTTTTTATTCTTGACTGTAATTTTCTATTCATATTAATGCAGGTCCTAATAGTGATTATTTTACTATTAGAATGTACCATTATGGTAAAATTGTTGAGTTAAATGGCAGATATTATGTGGATGGTAAAGTTGATTATTTTGATTGGTGTCATGAAGATGAAATGTCTGTGTTATAATTAAATGAAATGGCTAAAGAGTTAGGATTGAATGATGTGGTTCATTTTCTGCACAATAGGGGTATGCCACATGACTGCAATTATGTTTCAAAGTTAGAACATGATATTGATACTCTGTGTTTAGTGAATTTTGCTGATGATGAAAGAGTCACAGAAATATATGTTCAGCATGAAACTGTTGTGCAACTGAGTGCAAATGAATCTGATATAGATACTGGGAATGAACCTGTTGGGGGTACTGAGAATGAACATGTTGGGGGTACTGGGAATGAACCATTAGATTTCAGTGATGGTTTAATTGATATGAATGATAGTGATGGTAGTGATGGCCAATCAGTTGGGGATGATTCTGACCACTCTGATTTTCTAGCTGATAGTGATTTTTATGAGTCTGATGATGATATCCAGTATGATGAAAATGTAGACTTTGATGTAGAATGGGGAGGGTTAAGGGAAAAATCAAAAACAGAGCCTACCAATAGAAGATCTAGGAGATTAAATAAAACAGTTGATGAAGAGGGGTCAAGCAAGAAAAAACTGAATGAATGCACCCACAATAACTTCCCTGTTTTCAATGAAAAACTTGATATGTCAGACCCTCAATTTCAACTGAGGCCTTGTTTTAATGATGCTGATTCATTTAGAAGTGCAGTAAGACAGCATTCTATTGTCCATGGTAGAGACATCAAATTCAAAAAAAATAAAAAAAATAAAGTCCAAGTAATTTGCAAACATAAGACTTGTGACTGGACAATTTATGCTTCCCAACTTAGAAATGAAGCTACATTCCAGATCAAGAGTCTTAATGCAGTTCATGAGTGCAATAGGAAAGAGAGGGTGACTTGTGCAACATCTAGGTGGGTAGCCAACAAATATAAAGATAAGTTAGCCTCAGATCCTAAATGGCCAATTGATTCCATGATGTCTATTGTGCAGAAAGACTGTAAGCTTTTGTTCAGTAGGCATCAAATGTACAGGGCAAAGAAAAAAGCCACTGAGTTGAACATTGGCTCAAGTGTTGAACAATATGGCTTAATGTGGAGGTATGCTGCAGAAGTGGTTAAAACTAATCCTGGGACCACAATTAGGATTAAAACTAAACCTGTTGGGGATGGGAATGAAATGAGATTTAAAAGAGTTTATTTGTGTTGGGGGGCTTTAAAGGAAGGGTTTCTGTCAGGGTGTAGGCCTATTATCTTTTTGGATGGATGCCACTTGAAAACATCATATGGTGGTATCCTATTGTGTGCTGTAGGGATAGATGCTAACAATGGTATTTATCCATTTGCATATGCAGTAGTTGAAAAGGAGAAAAAATATAGTTGGTTGTGGTTTATTGAATTGTTGAAAACAGACTTGGACATTGAGAATAGTGGTTTGTGGACTGTGATGAGTGATAAACAGAAAGGGCTCATTGATGCTGTAGAGTTGTTGCTGCCTTTTTCAGAGCACAGATTCTGTGTGATGCACTTATACAGTAACTTTAAGTTGTCACATAGAGGCTTAGCTCTAAAAAATATTTTGTGTAAAGCTTCCAGAGCTTCCAGGATTGTGGATTTTGAAAGGGTGATGAGGGAACTGGGTGAGAAAGACAAATCAGCCTTCAAATGGCTTGCTAAGAGGCCTGCAGCACATTGGTCTAGGTCATATTTCAACACAAACTCCAAGTGTGATGTGTTACTGAACAACATGTGTGAAAGTTTTAATGCAATGATTGGAAGGGCTAGGAGTTTACCTATCATTGACATGTTGGAAGCTATCAGAATGATCTTAATGAAGAGGATTCATGTGAAAAGAGACAAGATGGCCAAATACAGTGGTGATATTTGTCCTAACATTCAGAGGCAGTTAGATGATTTGAACAAGAAGTCCATGGACTACATAGCTCATTGGAATGGCAAGGATCAGTTTGAGGTGGAGAGCTGTTATGGGGAGAAGTTCAAAGTCCACCTTGGGGATAATAGCTGCAGCTGTAGAAGATGGCAACTAACTGGAATCCCATGTGCACATGCTATTTCAAGCATGTATTGCATGGGATACACACCTGAGGATTATGTTGAAGGTTGGTACAAGAAAGACAAATACATGGCAATCTACAGTCACTTGATGAATGCTATGGAGGGTAATGAGTCTTGGCCAATTTCTGGCAAAAGTAAACTACTTCCTCCAGACATTGAGAGCATGCCAGGTAGACCAAAGATGCACAGTAGAAGAAAACAGTCAAGTGAAGGGTCCAGGGATATACCAGCTCCTGTTTGCAAGAACATAACAACAATTGAAAAGTTGGGGAGGCAAGGAGTGATAATGACTTGCAGTTTGTGTCACCAGAAGAAACATAATGCAAGAGGTTGTCCATTAAGGCAACCAAGTGAGCAAGGCACCACTAGTGCTGCTGCAAATAACAAAAGAAAGGTACATTTCTATGGTTTTTGTTTATAATCTTATTTCTATTGTAATGTTCTTATGTACTTTTCTTTGTCAATTTGCAGAGGAAGCAATCAAAGAAGGGCAAGGAAAAACCACCCAATCAAGTGCCTGAAACACCAGTGGTTAGTATAATAGCATTAATCTTTTTTTGTATCTGTGAGTATGAAATATATTTTCATTTGTGTATGTGAAATAATATCTTTAATGAATTTTTGATAAATGTGAGTATGGATTATATTCTATATTTTGATAATTGCAGATGGATGATGATACCTTGAGCCAGGAAATTGAGGCTGTATATCAGAGCTTGATTAATGAAGCTGAAGAAACTTCAAAACAAACTAATGAGACTGTGAGTAAAAGACAGAAATTACCAGTTAGGAAAGGGAAGAAAAAAAGCATTCCAGAAGAGGTAAAAGATTTGATTTTTAAATCCTTGGTTAAAAGATCAGTTCTGAACATATTGTTATTTTTATTTGATTTTTTGTACTTTAGGTGGTTCCAAAATCAAAAAAGGGCAAAGAGCCTATGGTGGTTGAGCAACTGAAGGTTTCAAGAACATGGAAGGGCAAAGAACCTGTGGTGGCCAGTCAAACTTCAAGTGTGCCAAGAATACCTAGTAGCCAGCTATCACAAACAACTGTGAACAGCACCCTTTCAGCAAGTCTACAAAGTGAATTACCACCACATTTCCAGAAAATTTTTGTTAAAAAATTTGTAATTCAAGGCAGTTGTAATGCTGGCAACTCTTTTTTGTTTTGGTATTTGCTATTTAGGTATTGTAAGTCTGTCTTTTTGAAAATTGTATTTTAGAAGTTTTTTTGGAAGGTGTTTTGGAAGTCTTTTTGAGAACTGTATTCAAGACAACTCTTTTGGTTTGATATTAATGAAGAAGTTGATTATCTAATAGTTTGTTGTGAATATGTTTATGCTTGTTGTGAATAACACCACAGTACATTGGTACATTTATTTATGTTTGTTCTTACAATCTGATATTTGGTAATCATGTTTGTGTTTGAAATAACATTGACAAACCATATCACAATAGCCATTGATTTCATTACATAAAGAGTACATCAAGATGGAATTACATTACACAATCTGTTTTTGAAAAACAGAGACACGAGAACAATATAACACAACTTACAACAGAAAAAATCAATAGCATTAAAAACTCCAAAATATCTTAATTTCAAGAACACAGATTTTCAAGAACACAGACATATGCATAAGGAGATACACAAATACATATTTTAATTTCAAGAACACAGACATATTACATAAGAAGATACACAACCCTAGGTTAGTTTTTAAGTGATGAGACGTTTTTACCCTTAAAAAAATCACGTGAAAGGCACATGTGTGGGATTCCGGCAAAAATGCCCGGAATATTCCCTTTTTAAGGCACCGTGCAACGAAAACCGTAGTTTAGGTAAAAACGTGCAAAAAAAATTTGTTTGGGGGGTAAAGTGCAAAACGGGCTATAGTTTAGGGGGTAAACTGCTTTTTATTCTTAAAAAAAAGTAACTAACAACAACAAAAAAACCATGCATTAATTAATGCAAAAAAACCATTGTCTACAAATCAAATACAACAAATTAAATCTTATTTAAAAAAAAAAAAAAAAAAACTAAATATTCCCACGGTGGGAAGGACCGGCTCCTCCACCAGCAGATGGATCCTGCCCCCACCGGGGAATATAATTATACTGTATGGAATATTCTCCAACAGTAGCAGATGTCGGATCCTGATTCTGATTATCATGATCCGGTTGTTGCGGCGGTGGTGGAAAATAATTGTACTGCATCGGAGGAAACTGGCCACCACCGCCACTTCCTCCAGCCGCCGCCGCCGCCGCCAACGGAACCTCCGCCCCATATTGAGCAGCACCAAAATTGTACGGGACAGAAAACTGCCCGCTGCCACTACCAGACGGCCCCTCACCCGCCTGAGTACGTAACAAAGTTCTGAGCAAACATGCCCGGAACTATCTCGCCTCCAGTCGGCGGAGGCGGCACCGCCGCCACCGCATCCGCCGCGGCAGCGGCTGCACCGGAAGTCGAAGCTCCATTGTTGAGCTCCGAGATCCGGTTCTGGATTTTGACCTTGAAGGCGCGAAACCACGCCTTCCATTCCTGGACCTGCTCCGGCGAGAGGCTCTCGATCGGGGTATCCTCCCACCACCCCTCGATCTCGTCGAGCTCCTTCTCCCTCTCCTTGAGGCGGTCCTTCTCCTTATGGATCTCGTCCAGCCGCCGGTTCAGGTTATCGATCCGGGCGCGTGTGTGCGCCTCAACCACCCGCGCGTAGTCGCTGAGGGGTTGGTTGGGGTTCCTGAATCGGTCGATGACCGACTCCATTGACGGATGGAAGAAGGAGAAAGGGTTATCGGTAGGGGAGAAGATAATTATACCAATGTCCACACCACACAGCGTGCTCAGCTCGCTCGCCTTGTTATAAAGCCCCAATCGCCGCTTCGAGAAGGTGGCGTACAGATCGTCCTGGTTTTCAATCAGCCCCCTGGTTTGCCTGCCCGCCATTGTTGAACAGAAAACTAGAATTAAGTTGCAGAGAATTATTATTCTATATATGAATTGAAATGAAACTTTGCTCTCTGTGTGTACTGTTTGTGTATGCTCTACGTTTGTTTGTGGGGTATTTATAGTGAAATTGTGGAAAATAAAATTTTAGTGTAGGATTTGGCAATCAGATTTTGAATTATGGCATTCTACGTCCATTTATAGTCAACTGCATGATTATGCATGTATCTAATTTGATAAATCTTGATTCTAGATTCTAGCCATTATTTTCATATAATCATTTGCTTACCAAATTATCAAAAAAAAAAAATTTAAAAAGAAAAAAAAAAAATATATATATATATATATATATATATATATAAGCAACTTTGCCCAAGGTGCTAGCAACTTTGAATATATATATATATATATATATATATTCAAAATTAATTCTTCAAGTTACCAATTATGAATAGAATAATTAATAATCGAACCAATGGATACAAATAGAAATAAAAACAAAAACAAAAAAAAAAAAAGAAAAAGAAAAACTTACCGGTGATGGAGAAAAAATTGCAATAACATCAGTATTGCATAACCATATATGCTAGTTTGATAACCCATTATTTTGACAAAGAACAGGCTAATTGAACACTTTGAAGGAACTCTCTGAATATATGCTTAGTGAGATATATATTATATAGAACTACGTTCTTCTGTATTCTTGTATTGCTGATTTAACTATGAACAGGCGTCCGCTGTATTTATAGAGGCCGTGGTTCGTTTGTTTTGGAAACTGAAACGCATTTATTTTTTTCATATAGGAGGTGCAATGATTGTAATATTTAATCGATAATCAAATCACGAGATTTTGCCGATGAATGATAATAAAACGTCTTGGCTATTTTTAATTTATGGAAAGTATTACACTTTTTTGTTTATATACGGACAATATTATAGGTATCGCGATTATAAATGGTAGTCATAAATTATAATTTGATTTTAATTTATTGAAAAAGCATATTCTGAGGAAGTATTATGTGATCCGAGAGATCATTGATAGAGGTGAAGTTAAAGTAGAACGAGTCACCTCGAAAGAGAACGTTGCAGAAACCTTTACCGAGATCGGTCCACGAGAAACATCGAGAGTAGATGGGATTGCGATTCATGGGTAGTTGGCTTTAGGTCAAGTGGGAGATTGTTAGAGTAGGTGACCAACAAGCCAACATGTGGCTGTGGTCTTTCGTATTTATTATGGTACTAAACGAACATTTTTTCGTAGTAATGATAAAACATCTTGCCATTCTATATCTTTGTCCCTTTGTCACAAGCATAGATATAGTCCTTACAGTTATTACAAGTACTAGTAATTGATCGTTAGGATCGTGAGATATTTACTTAAGTATTATAACTGTTAAACGTGTTCCTAGTCGAAGGGTTACGCCACCAATGAGGACATCGGCCTTTCCCATTAAGAGACTAGCACTTAGTGTATGTGTACTGCATCTCATCAGTAAACGGTATTGTGATATCGGCATGCATAAGTGGGTGCTCTTAAGTTGACGAGTTCACTGAACTCCCTCACCCTAGAAATCTCTAAGTGGTTCTCAATAATCGAGTAGAGATATATGTGGTATAGTTGTACACCATTAGTCCTTATGACCTAGACATCACCGTGACTTCACTAGAGGACAAGTTGTATTGTGACCTGTCCCTGAGTTCCACCGATGACCACCCCAAGGGCCAGTGTTCGTGCAGTCCGAAATCTAGTGGGAGGTCTGTGCATTGTAGTCGGGGATTCGATCGCTAGAATAAAGAAATGTCGCATGTGCAGGGTCGAATTAACATTTTTCGGGGAATATAATATTCCAAGTAATGAAAACAATTTCGTGAAAAGTCACACTATAAGGGGGTCGATGTAAGACGGAAACAAACATTAGGGGAGTTTTGGTAATTACAAATACATGTGGGTATTTTTCTTAAATTAGTCGTAATTTATCCCTGTTAAATACAACTTAAATTGATTTCCACCTATGATTATATGTTAGAAACAAACATAAAGGCTGGCGTTAATGAAAATAGATCAAATTTCAATTAACAAAAGTCACTATAAAATGCTTATATAAATAATAAATGGAAAAGGAAAAATTAATTGATTTTTTTGTGAAAATCGGTCGAATATATTGTGATTTAAAAAAATAGAGATATAGAATCGATATTAGATTCTTATAAACATTATAAACTAAATAATTTTATTTTACAAATATTTAAAAAATGTTAATTAAAAAAATAAATATAACTGATTTTATATGATGGGAAATAGAAAACTTAAGATTATTTCATTAATTCAGGTACATAACTTGTAAGTTAGACAAAGAACTCATGTATTCCAATATCAAAATATAGTGGGATATATACGTTGTTAAAATATTTAATAATCAATTATTTACGCTATAATATCCTACATTAATATTTTTGTTTTCCTATGATTTAAAATTTTAACTTCAAAAATTAGTCAAAATATTTATAGCTAAATATTTTTTTTTCCATGATAGGATGTCTATATCTTTACCCACATTATAATGGATTGCATTAAACCTCGTATAGGTTCAATATTGTAGCAATATCGTTCCAAATGAAATGATAAACTAATTTGATATTTGTTAGATAATTTTTTATTGGTATACTATGATATTTGAAATTTGATAACTTTTTCAGAGCTTAGGTCGTACAAATAGTTTAAGGTTTTCTTCTATGAGAATGAACAACTGTATAAACAATGGATTGTGATAGACTGGAAAGGGGAATAAATACATCGAGAAAATCTTTAATTAGGCAATTTACAACACTTTTTTTATCGAAATATTGCACACATAAAAAAATCTAAGACTAATAAAAAAACGAATATAAAACTATTTTAGGAACATATAGCCGCACCATGCGTGTCAATATATTATTTTGTAGTATACGGAATCTTACGAAATCTTTTTTTCCATCCAAGCTAGTGCACGTAATATACCCACTAACATGTGTAGATATATGTATATATACATAATAATATTAACTGTTTTCATTTTTTGTTTACTCATTCGTTTGATGAATTATAAAAATACCTATCTATTCTAAGATATTTATTTAATTAGGTATTTTTTCTCTTATATGAAATTTACTTATGAGTTGGATCTTTTTAACGTATTTGTAGGCAGTATAATATATAGCACAATATATATATATATATATATATATATATATATATATATATATATATATATATATA